TTCAAAAAGGAAAGTCCCCAATCAAATGGCAAAATCAAAAAAAAAAACACATCAAACGAATGGATAACAACTGTCATATTCCTGACTTGGTACAGGCATTTTCTTATGTAGAAAATGGTGGATTGAACCTGGTTTTATAGCTAGCTAAACCTCTCACTTGTAAGATGAGATGAAATCAAATAATTTACATAAATAAAAGGGTTGATATTAATACATTAAAACATGAGAAATTATAACACTAACGATAGTGATCATTTTTCAAGCCTAACTAATAAATTAAATGATGCAGATTAGATCATGTGTAAACATCGGTGTCAAGATATGGCACGGAAGTTGTTATGAAATTGTAAAGCACAGAAAGGGATACGGCATACGTCCTGGTGACGGTTCAATGATTTTACAGCCGGCAGTAAAGGCTTTCAGAAGACTTGAAGTCTTCTTCCACCAAAAACTGCATTTTACTCTATGTTCTATTTTTAGCCATGCGGCCATGTTTTCTGAGGAAACAGAAAATAAAACACAAACTTTATTCTAGATAACATAAGAATCATTCAGCTTAAGTTTGGTTTAATTTGGTTCAGTAGTTTCAAAGGAGAAGATTTTTTAAAGTTAGAAAACATGATAAACAAATTGTGTAAAATTGTCTTTAAAGGGCAATAACTCCTTAAGGGGCCAATTGAAAATTTTTGACATTTAAACTTATTTGTAGATCTAACTTTGCTGAACATTTTTTGCTGTTTACAGTTTATCTTTATCTATAATAATATTCAAGATAATAAGCAAAAACTGCAAAATTTCCTTAAAATTACCAATTTAGTGGCAGCAACCCAACAATGGGTTGTTAGATTCATCTGAAAATTTCAGGGCTGAAAGAACTTGACCTAATGAACATTTAAACCCCTGTCAGATTTGCTCTTAATGCTTTAGTTTTTGAGATATAAGCCAAAAACTGCATTTTGCTCCTATGTTCTATGTTTAGCCATGGTGGCCATGTTTTTTGACGAAACAGAAAATAAAACACAAACTTTATTCTAGATACCCTAAGGATCATTCAGCTTAATTTTTGGTTGGTTTGGTTGGTTGGTGCAGTTGTTTCAGAGAAGAAGATCTTTGAAATAGTTTACAACGGCCGCCAAGTTAGGAAAGATGAACTAAAACTTAAACTAAATGTCAAATCTCAAATGTCAAAATAAAACATGTAACAAGTAGTATTGTTACTACAAATAACAGTAGGTAGCCTATGAAATGGTGCTTCAGTAAATCTCCCCAAAAAAAAATTTTGTTGGGGGAGATCTCCCCTTCTGGTGGTTTTGAAAGTGGACACTGGTGAATTCTCTACAGACATATTATCAGAAGACAACAATTTATAAATCAACCTATTAACATATAAATTATAACCATTGCACCCTATTGATATATTTGACCAATGCCAGCCGCACGCCTGTATATACCTTCATATAGGAAAAGACCCCTACCCAGTGGACTTTTTATACGACCGCAAAAATTGAAAATTTTTTGGTCGTATATTGGTATGACGTTGGCGTCGTCGTCGTCGTCGTCGTCGTCGTCTGGCGTCGTCCGGCGTCGTCCGAAGACACATTGGTTTTCGCACTCTAACTTTAGTTTAAGTGTATGGATCTCCATGAAATTTTACCATAAGGTTCAATACCACGAAAGGAAGGTGGGGATTGATTTTGGGGGTTATGGTACCAACAGTTAAGGAATTAGGGGCCAAAAAGGGGCCAAAAATAAGCATTTTTGTAACTTCCAGACAATAACTTGTGTGTAAGTGTATGGATCTCTCTGACATTGTACCACAAGGTTCCATATCACAAAGGGAAGGCTGTAATTGATTTTGGGGGTAATTGCCTCAAAATTTTAGGAATTAGGGGCCAAAAAAGGGGCAAAAAACAAGCATTTTTCTAGTTTCATGACAATAACTTAAGTGTAAGTGTTTGGATATTTCTGAAATTGTACTTCAAGGTTCCATATCACAAAGGGAAAGCTGGAATTGAGTTTGGGGGTAATTGCCCGAAACGTTTAGGAATTGGGGGCCAAAAAGGGGCCAAAAATAAGCATTTTTCTAGTTTCCAGACAATAACTTGTGTTCAAGTGTATGGATCTCTCTGAAATTGTACTGCAAGGTACCATACCACAAAGGGAAGGCTGGGATTGAGTTTGGGGGTGATGAATCATAAGGGGGTTCAAAAAATTTGGGGGGGGGATTTTTTTTTTTTCTTTTTTTTTCTTTTTTTCCTTTTTTTTTTCTTTTAAAATTTTCCATTTTAAGTTGGTTATTTCTGATTAATATTTAAAAGCAAATAATAATGATATGGTAGGAGATACACACCAAACAGGATGTGTAAATTATTATATAATAAGTATTGTGCAATAGCAAGAAATTTTCAATTGCACAGTATTGCACAATTGCAAGAAATCTTCAATTGCACAGTATTGCGCAATAGCAAGAAATCTTCAATTGCACAGTATTGCGCAATAGCAAGAAATATCCAATAGCACAATATTGCGCAATAGCAAGAAATTGTCAATTGTACAGTATTGCACAATAGCAAGAAATATTCAATTGCACAGTATTGTGCAAAAGAAGATACTTCGTATAAATTGCTTATTTCTTGATCAATTTCAATGGGGTTTTATTCTTGAATTCTTGGGGTTCTTTAATATGCTGAATCTAACCGTGTATTAAGTTTTTGGATTTTGGGCCCTGTTTTTAAATTGGTCCACATTGAGGTCCAAAGGGTCCAAAATTTAACTTTGTTTGATTTCATCAAAAATTGAATTATTGGGGTTCTTTGATATGCCGAATCTAACCGTGTATTTAGATTCTTAATTTTTGGTTCCGTTTTCAAATTGGTCTACATTAAGGTCAAAAGGGTCTTAAATTAAACTTAGTTTGATTTTAACAAAAATTGAATTTTTAGGGTACTTTGATATGCTGAATCTAAACATGTATTTAGATTTTTGATTATGGGCCCAGTTTTCAAGTTGGTCCAAATCGGGGTCCAAAATTAAACTTTGTTTGATTTCAACAAAAATTGAATATATGGGGTTCTTTGATATGCTGAATCTAACCATGTATTTAGATTTTTGATTTTTGGGCCCCGTTATCAACTTTGTCCACATTGAGGTCAAAAGGGTCCAAAATTAAACTTTGTTTGATTTCATCAAAAATTGAATTCTTGGGGTTCTTTGATATGCTGAATCTAACCATGTATTTAGATTTTTTATTTGTGGACCCGCTATCAAATTGGTTCATATTGAGGTCAAAAGGGTCCAAAATTAAACTTTGTTTGATTTCATCAAAAATTGAATTATTGGGGTTCTTTAATATGCCAAATCTAACCGTGTATTTAGATTTTTAATTTTGGGTCCCGTTTTTAAATTGGTCTACATTAAGGTCCAAAGGGTCCAAAATTAAACTTAGTTTGATTTTAACAAAAATTGAATTCTTGGGGTTCTTTGATATGCTGAATCTAAACATGTGTTTAGATTTTTGATTATGGGCCCAGTTTTCAAGTTGGTCCAAATTGGGGTCCAAAATTAAACTTTGTTTGATTTCAACAAAAATTGAATATATGGGGTTCTTTGATATGCTGAATCTAACCATGTATTTAGATTTTTTATTTGTGGGCCCGCTATCAAATTGGTTCATATTGAGGTCAAAAGGGTCCAAAATTAAACTTTGTTTGATTTCATCAAAAATTTAATTATTGGGGTTCTTTGATATGCCAAATCTAACTGTGTATTTAGATTTTTAATTTTGGGTCCTGTTTTTAAATTGGTCTACATTAAGGTCCAAAGGGTCCAAAATTAAACTTAGTTTGATTTTAACAAAAATTGAATTTTTGGGGTTCTTTGATATGCTGAATCTAAACATGTGTTTAGATTTTTGATTATGGGACCAGTTTTCAAGTTGGTCCAAGTTGGGGTCCAAAATTAAACTTTGTTTGATTTCAACAAAAATTGAATATATGGGGTTCTTTGATATGCTGAATCTAACCATGTATTTAGATTTTAGATTTTTGGCCCAGTTTTCAAGTTGGTCCAAATTGGGGTCCAAAATTAAACTTTGTTTGATTTCAACAAAAATTGAATATATGGGGTTCTTTGATATGCTGAATCTTACCATGTATTTAGATTTTTTATTTTGTGGGCCTGCTATCAAATTGGTTCATATTGAGGTCAAAAGGGTCCAAAATTAAACTTTGTTTGATTTCATCAAAAATTGAATTATTGGGGTTCTTTGATATGCCAAATCTAACCGTGTTTTTAGATTTTTAATTTTGGGTCCCGTTTTTTAAATTGGTCTACATTAAGGTCCAAAGGGTCCAAAATCAAACTTAGTTTGATTTTAACAAAAATTGAATTCTTGGGGTACTTTGATATGCTGAATCTAAACATGTGTTTAGATTTTTGATTATGGGACCAGTTTTCAAGTTTGTCCAAGTTGGGGTCCAAAATTAAACTTTGTTTGATTTCAACAAAAATTGAATATATGGGGTTCTTTGATATGCTGAATCTAACCATGTATTTAGATTTTGGACATTGGACCATAATAGGTAAATTAAAAAAATTGAAGTTCTTAGACCACATTCTTTCTGTGTCAGAAACCTATGCTGTGTCAAATATTTAATCACAATCCAAATTCAGAGCTGTATCAAGCTTGAATGTTGTGTCCATACTTGCCCCAACTGTTCAGGGTTCGACCTCTGCGGTCGTATCAAGCTGCGCCCAGCGAAGCATTTTATTAAATTATATTTCTTCGTTTTTATCCCATTGTCTTACTTTTAGTATTAGCATCTATGTTGGTTAGTAGGCCTGACATTCTGTTATAATTTTAAAAGTTAACACCCTTCAAATGATAAGGACCCATTTAAGTTACAACTTGTCCTATGGTTTTAGGCCAGAAGATTAGTTGAAAGGACCAGGTGACGTAAAAAGGAGTCATTCTATTCTATGAAATATAACAATGCATAGACTATTGTAGTATACATTTTAATGACTAAATATGGCAACAAAAATAAACAGCATTCTTAATGATTTACCAATGGCAAGACAGTTGCAAAAATTAAAGTAGTCTCATAACAACTTCCCTACTATGGCTCAATGACAAAGGTCATTCATCAAGTATTCAATTTCAATAACATAAAATTTAACACAATAATCTATGACTCACAACAAGAAACACGAAAAAAAAAATATAACTTTGGTGGAAGCTTATATATGTTGACTTGGAAAATACAGAGATTTCATCCTATGACTACCACTATCACCAATTCTTTATTGCGAACCAAATGAAAGTTTTCCACAGAGTCGTCTGCTCTTGACCAGGGTATTTAATCTTTTGTCTATTCTCTTGTCCTATTGAATAAATACAATCGCTATTGTTCTCTGTGTATTTTTTTCACTGGGATCTTTAAATTTCTTCTAGGATAAATCTATCACTCATTGATTAATTTACCTGACCAAAAAATAACCTTCTTTTTTGGGGGAAATAGTTGTATAAACTCGCATAAACTGCATGCAATATTGTATTTAACCAATATCAAAAATATATTTTCAATCTGTTCAATATAAACACTGATTTAATTATAAAAAGTTTACTTCTGACAAAATTTTTAGTATTGTTCCAATGAATTTGCATGTTTTTGTTGTTGTTCAGTTATAGAATACATTTATCAAGACCTTAATTAAAACACAATAATTTTCAAGTTTTTATTTGTCAAACACACAAAAAAAAGCAAATTTTAATAGGGAAAATATAAAAAAAATTGTTCAGAAATCAACTTTTAATTTTTGAATCTGTGTTTATATTGAAACTATTAAAAATGAATTATTGATATTGAATAAATACAACACCATATGCAGTTTTTTGAGTCCTTATTTAGTATTTGTACATGTATTTTCGTTATTGACAGTTCAATTTTTTGTTCAGGTAAATTTTAAAAAAATCAGTGAGTGATAGATTTCTCTTGGAATAAATTTAAAGGTCCCATCAAATAACTACACAGAGAACAATAGCTATTGTATTTATTAGATGGGACAAAAGAACTTACAAAAGTTCAAATCGACAGGTAACTTGCAGGTGAATCTGTGGAAAAGTATCATTGGATTGGCAATAAATTTGAACTAAAACCAATCAATTGTATATCTTCAGATGTATTAGATTTCCTACTGATTCTAATGGTATCACATACAGACCTGTTTTGTATGGCTGTGTGAATGAATAATTATAAATATATATAAATATTACCCTAAAATGAAAATACAATGAAATAAAATATCAAAATTATCAAACACTGTATTACCACAAAGTAAGTTAAAAAAATCAAAAATAAATCAAAGTTATTGTTAGGTAATCAGTTTTCTAATTTTTTTCATTCTTTTTTACTTTGCCATAATAACTCAATAAAAAGCCTCCATCCCTAATATTTCTAAAGGAACATAATTTTTGGAACTAGGAATTAAATAATAAAACAACTCATACACACAAATGAATGTCCTTCTAAATTTAAATCAACAAAAATTTATCAATAAACTCATCATAGATACCAGGATTGAAATTTTGTATTTGCGCCAGATGCGCGTTTCATATACAAAAGACTCATCAGAAACGCTGGAATAAAAAAAAGTTAAAAAAAAGGCCAAATCAAGTACGAAGTTGAAGAGCATTGAGGACCAAAAATTCCTAAAAGTTTTGCCAAATACAGCTAAGGTAATCTATTCCCGAGGTTGAAAAGCCTTAGTATTTCAAAAATGTAAAGTTTTGTAAATAATTAATTAATAATTATGACCATATCAATGATAATTCATGTCAACACAGAAGTGCTGACTACTGGGCTGGTGATACCCTCGGGGAATAAAACTCCATCAAATCAGATCAAGGTATATTATCTTACCTCCTATACATTTCTAGGAATATGATTGGTTAAAAGCAACCGCATGGAGACCGTGTATATTCTATTGGGTTAGTAGGCGGGGCTTATTTCAATACACGATTAGAAGTGGTGTTACGTCCCTTTATAAAAACAACACGGTGTTGACGAAAAATCTTAAAGGTTTTAACAGACGAAGAAATTGATGATGAACGATTGAAATAAATTCCTAAAACACATTTAAAGCTAACAAGTCGTTATCATGGGCATTTTTTTGGATAGACCAATGGAAGTAGGTTCTTAATACTAACAGTATTGAAGACTTGATCACTTTGATAGGCCACTAGTCTCAATACCACATGTTAAGATAGCACACTATGTAACTAATAATATCCTTGTTTTGGTTTAGGACTAATACTTGTTGATTTACAAGGATACACAGTACTGTAACTTGCCATGCTATATTATTATTTGTGGGGTAACAATTTTGGTGGATATAGGTATACCACATGTTCAACAAAGTATAAATTTTCTTTATGCTTGTATAATGACTTTGGCAATACCAAGACAATTTCAATCTGTCCTCAATCCCCAAAATATGATACCCTAAAAGTATAAATGAATCCACAGTATCACTAATCTCAAATAGGTAAAAATTCTTACATTAAGCTAAAACATATCATATTAATTAAAGACATAAATCTCATTTGTCTTTTTTTACATATATACTGGAAGTACTGGATACACGATTAAAATGAAAAGATTTCAAATATTTCATGATACTCATACAATGTATCAATATATTAATTATATACAATGTATCAATATATTAATTATACATCTCTAACTGCTCCTAAATTACAATGCCAACTATCTCCTGAACAGAATCAATTTACAAATATGTAAACAACAAAAACAACATTTCACAAAATGATGATTTAAAATTTGATTGCAACAGTAAAATCATGAGTTGTAATTCTATATGGCATTATATAATACAAACAAACTGCTAAATGAAGCATAACAAAAAAATATATATACAAAGAAAAACACGGAAAACCTGTTAAAACAGATAAAACAGAAATTTGTCTCACCTGCCCAAAATAATGAAACGCTAAGATGGACTGACATAAATCTTGAAGAACTTAGTTATGAATATTACCTTCTATACAACCAAGGCTAGCTTTATATAATGAATGCAGCTGATATTTACCCACCCATATCAGAGATTTTTAAAGTACATTCCTTGGGTCCCTTGTATGTTTTCATGGAACAGGACTTATGACTTAGACTTAATCAGAATATGCAATACACAGGCAAATTTTGCTCACATGAATTTCACATGAATCTCACATGAAATTCATGGGCAAAATTTCACATGAAATTCACATCAATGAGCTTATACATGAAACTCACATGAAAATTTTTATGTGAATTTCACGTGAATTGAGATTCACTTGAATCTCACATGAATTTCACATCAACTTTACATAAACAAATTTGGTATTTTTCATGATTTTTATTAAATTTGAAAATTTAGATGTTATTTGAATAGCTTCATTTTCAAAATTCACGAAATTCACCTGAAACTGATTTCACGTGAGTTTCACGTATAAGCTCATTTGAGGTGAAATTCACGTAAATTTCATGTGAGATTTGCATGAAATTTATGTGAGTGAAATTTCCCTGTGTATTAGCTGTGAAAAGTAAAACCAAAAGCGTACTATCTTTTTCCTCATTTACTACATTCAGTGCAAACATTAACTGTTGATTACCTATACACACATTTACAATACTAAATACAAGACTTATTTGCATTTTTTCCCTAATCAAATGTATATAACTTAAGTGATTTTTAAATTACTGTGAAATAAGGTACTATGCTCTGTTTCTGTCTGGTGAAAACTGACACACATGATAGCAATATAAGCTAACCTGGTAATAATAGGTTTATTTGATTTCTACAGGATAAGGACTTTAAAAGGATTGTTTTGAACTGTAAAATGCAGATAGCCAAGGTTATACAAGATATATATAGATTGTGACTGAAAAAATCCAGTGTTTTGCTAGAACTTAGTTCTTACAGACATTGTTACTCTAAAAGCTTGAAACACACCTTATGCCAGTCATAACAATTTCATTTTATTTAGTCTATTTCTGTATTTATTTAAAGAGGATTGTCAACAGCCTGAGATTTTAATTAGGTCTCCTCAAGTTTATGAACTCATTTTGTGAAACTAGTCACTATGCAGCTGAAGAAGGGAACTCTTTAAATTAATTGTCAAATTGTATCTAATTGTGTATGCTATATAAGCTTAAGCAAAATTATAAAGAATTTACATCTACTTTCTCAAAGTTAACTATGGTAGTTGTTCAGCAACAAGGAGAATTTAAGTTATCTCCCCTCAGATCCATATGTTACTAACAAAGTGAGATTATCAGTAATTATTTGAAAAACATAATTGCTAAAAAATGTAACAAGTTAGCACCATCTACAAAACAATAAAGAAAATAAATAATAATACAACTAAAAGCAGAAGCATTGTAAAGTAAATGTATCTATCTGACTAGCTTTTCAATAAAAAATCAAAGAAAAATATTTTAGTGCTCAGAACTCCTTTTGAAACATAAGAGTATGTTCGTTGAGTATTTGGCATCTCATATAATATCTATTCACTAACACAATGGCACTCTTATTAACTCAAAATGATTTATCACATAATTCTATAGACAAAGTTTACTACTATAAAGATATAATTTCAAAAAATAACTACTAGATGTCTGAATTGCCCATCTGGCAGTCACATGCCGTACTGATATCTACATTAAAATCAGGATAAAAAATACCATAAGCAAAATCTCCAATGATCTCCCCCTTTCAAAAAATATAACTTTCCATTAAGTAGTCATCATATTAATAACCAAGAAAATGATTTATAGGTCTTAATTTCCTTGTTTATTAATTTTGCTGTTATCATTTTTTTCTCTTTCCTTTATTGTTTTCAGAATACCCCAAAAAGTCTTAAATTCATAAAAATCGTCATTTTAGGACAACAAATCCAAGAAGGAATCATCTGACAATTTTGATAGAATAACAGTAGATCTTTACTTTTCGAATTTGTTTTTGTCCCTGCAAGATTGTCATATTAACTACAGTTTTCATGGCATTTGACAAATATTGCACCTTGCCTTTGTGTTGTACTTTTAGTCATTGTAGCCATATTGGTTGATAAATCATTTATAATTCACTATCTTATATCTTATAACACTAAGGATCATTTAAGCAAAGTTAGGTTTAAACATTGGATCAATACATGCAAATAATGGTAAAAAACAGCCATTTAAGGACAGTAATTGCTTCAAGGAATATATGGTTTCAGTCATTTGGGTATTTTTTAAATCTTGCATTGCTGAACATTTTTGTTGATTTGAATTTCTGTCTTTAAAGATGCGAGTTATAAAAGGCAATAACTTCTACAAAGAGTCAATTTGTAGTTTTAGTCATGTACAGTTTATATCTGTCTATAAGTTTTCAAGAAAATAGGTAGACATATCACAAAGTTACAAATTTTACTGCACCAGATAAAAGGCACAAAATGCTATAATTGGTCAAAAATAGTCGTTTACAGACACTTACCCTTAGTATAAGGAGACATCTGATAATTTTTGTATAAATGGAAGGTAAATATATCCCGACATTCTGAAAATTTTCATTTGTCAGATTTTTCAGCATTGTTCTCTTTACCTTATGATCAATTTCTATCTACAGTACACATGTTGGTTAATGGAACAACCTATAATTTTCAATGATCTAGATACCCAAAGAATCAATCATGTCAAAATTGATTTCAATTGGTTCAGTAGTTTTGGGGAAGATCTTAGAACAAATGTAATGAAATGAGATGCCAAGTGATCATTGATGGAAATAGCTCATATAAGTATAACCCATAACTTTGGGCCAGATAATCTAAAAATATTAGAAAATATGACATCTCTTAAATTTGACAATGCAATCATAATGAATGGACTTATTCTGGCCTTACAATCTCAACATTTGTTTTAGCATTCCTTTCCTTTCAATAGAAAGTCTTACTCATCTAGCATAATATAAACTGATTGATTTTCTAGTCTTCACAAATATCATATCATTAGCTTTCCACAATTTTAAACATTAATGCTTTAACCCCTTTTTTCTGAATATTAAATCATTTACACCCCCATCATCTCTCTGCATTTTTAACAATGTGTCGTAGCCTTTACTTTCCATGAATCTCTGTAACTGGTTATGCCCCCCCCTTTCATGAACATACTCCACTGCCAACATTTTTATGTTTAATTTTTCAAAAGGAATTGTTTTTAATACATTAAGCTCATCTCCTTCTACATCTAAACTGAAGAAGTCTATTGTTGTTCTATTCAGTGCTAGCATGAAGGAATAAAATGGAAAACATTCTATTTCTACTGGATCTGAAGCTATGTGTTGTTTTTTAATCCAATCTCGTGCATCCTTATCATGTACTATTCTTCCTCTGTTAAACGCTTTGTTAAATGTCAGCTGGAAAAAAAACATAGATAAGATATATATTAGTACTTCAGAATATAAACTATACAATTAACAATTAAAAAAATTGTTTTTGTAGCTTTTCAGTAGTCATACAATTGCAAAAGGTTAAACTGACTATGAGACAGAACAAAACATATCATTGATACATCTAAACAGAAATATTATAATGATATGATAAAAGACTCAAAAGATTCTAAAACACTATGGAAATGTATTCACAGTCTAAATCCATTCACAATCTAAATCCATCTAATCCATCAAAACCACATGAACTTATTACAACTGGAGACCATAAAACTACAGATCATAAAGAAATTGCTTATGCATTCAATAATTATTTCACCTCATGTGTTGAAAAATTAAGGCATAGCAGGGCACCAAGCAACTCAAATTTCAATACTCTAACAAACTATGTACAAATGAAATTTTGGCAAAAAAGGCACAAAAAATTCATCATTCCCCCAGTAAAATTTGCAGAACTATTTGATGAAATAATCAAGCTAGTTGTTAAGACATCTTCTGGTTCTGACAATATAGGTCCAAAGATTATAAAACTGAGTGCTCCTTTGATAACATCTTCCTTAACATATATTTTTAATCGAATGATTGATACTGATATTTATTCATGTGTTTTAAAAAATGCCAAGGTAGCTCCTATTTTCAAATCAGGTGTAAAAAATGTAGCTAGCAATTACAGACCAATATCTGTTCTGCCAACATTATCAAAATTAATAGAGAGACATGTATCTAAACATCTGTATAATTATTTGACTAAGTTTCAAATTTTACACCCTTCCAAGTCTGGGTTTAGACCTAACCATTCATGTCTAACTGCCCTCATTAATATCATTGATAAATGGCTACATGAAATGAATATGGAAATATTAATTTGGCAGTCCTCCTGGATTTTAAAAAAGCTTTTGATGTTGTTGATCATGAAATTTTATGTAAAAAACTTCAAATTTATGGCTTCCATGACAATACTGTTGATTTTTTAAAATCATATTTGAAAGAAAGAACACAGCAAGTCCATATAAGTAATCAATATTCTGATAAAAAGTTTTAAAATTTTGCTGTTCCACAGGGCTCAATACTTGGTCCCATTTTGTTTGTTTTGTATATAAATGACCTTCCATTACACATCAAAAACTGCCATACAGACTTGTATGCTGATGACACAACTATGCATGCATCAAGAAAGAGTATTGCTGATATGCAATTAAAAGTACAAGATGATCTCCAATGTGTTGAAAAATGGTGTCATAAAAATAACATGTTCATAAATTCTGATAAAACTAAATGTATGGTTATAGGTACAAGACAAAGGCTGTGTTAAATCAAGCAGAACCAATTCTGACTATTGAGAATAATATTCTTCAAAAATCATCAATAGAAAAACTTTTAGGTGTTAGAATTGACTCTACCTGTCATGGACAGGCCATGTTAATTACTTATGCTCATCAATATCATCAAGACTTCATTTACTCTCTAAGATCAAGAAATTTCTAAATATTGATTCAAAAAAATTATTCTATAATGGTTATGTTCTCCCACTGATAGATTATTGTTGTATTATTTGGAGTGGTTGTGCTAAAAATGAGCTAGTAAGAATAATAAAATTGCAGAAAAGGGCTGCAAGACTCATTTTAGATGCTGATCCACTTTCATCATCAGCACCTCTGTTTAAACTGCTTGGGTGGATGACAGTAGAGAACAGAATCTCATACCATAAATCTGTTTTGATGCAGAAAGGCATTAAGAATGAAGCCCCTGTATATTTAACTGTAAAATTTAAAGAAATGCCAGTAATAAACCAATATTGTTTGAGGAATAAGTCTTGCAAAAAATTGAAAGTTCCAAAAGCCAAAACAGAGCTGTATAAGAAATCTTTTATATATTCAGGATCTATTTTATGGAATAACTTACCAATATCCCTGAAAAAATCAACCTCAAATACAGCTCATTCAAAAAAGATTTAAAAAATTACTTGTTGGAACATTAAGAAGCTGTGCAATTTTATGAGACAATATGATATGAACAGCAGACGCAGCAGTATAAAAAGTCCACCAAGAAGGAGAATCACACAGACATGTTGTCTTTACTATATTAAATACTCAAAACTGAAATAACAAATTCAAGTACCTACAACTTTACTGAAGATTAAATTGTAGACAAACATGCTTCAAAAACGACTGAATTTAAAGCTGCTGCTGAACACAACAAGGTTCCCACTGTGTTTTGGCTTCTTAATTTGCACAGGTAACTTTATAAATTTCGTTATATACCTAAAACCATATAAAATAATCAAATAAAATAATCTCGCTGCTTCTGACTCTTACAACCATTAAGGAATTTTTTTATGTGACAAAGCCAATGTTAATAGTGGTATTAACTATTTCTGGAGTGTGAGAATCGTTCGAAGTCTTGGATAAGCTCTAATCAAGAGGTACCACCAAACATGATTAAACTATGTTATATCCCGGTATATCAAATACAGTAAAACCTGTATACACCGGCCAGCTCTGAGACTATGAAAAAGAGTTGGTTTGGACGGTGGGTAGGTTTATTCAGGTTTCCGTATTGACAGGAAGTTATAAACTTGTGATGTCAGATATTGGATGTAAAAGTTCTGTCTTATTGTTAACTGTAAACTAATAAAACCAATACTGTAATAATCTATTTATTGAAAGTTATGTCATGATTTGTGTGAAAATATTTTGACATGAACATTACAAATGTTCCTTGCCTTTGCACCATTTTTCTACGCAGAGGCGAATTTAAGGGGCCCAGGCTGCCCAGGCCCCCTTATGGAGCTTCATTTATGGTTAATTCAGACTTTTTACCTGTTCCACACCAAATGTTGCCTAGTTTGGGGGCCTGTGGGCCAGGGCCTAATCTAGGATTTTGGAGAGGGAGAAGTGACTTCTCCTTCCATGAGAGAGAAGGGAGAAGTGGTCAATTTCTTCGAGAAGTGATATTCCATTACTGTTTCGGTTGCATAGTGTTCTCGTGCTTATCACTAAGAAAATTGTTTTATATGCAATAAAAAATATACATGCAGTTTTTTCATGTTATTGTACAAAATGTATATATAGAAAGTTCTTAATAAAAAGGTTTAGACAATATAGTTGTTATTTATTCATTGATACCATTTGTACTGTCAACTTGAATTTAAGTTTAAATAAAATTTGTTGTTTGGGACATGAGGGAGTAGCCTAGTAATATTGATGATGCATTAAATTCATGTGCATCTGCCTCAATTTATTTTTAAATGTCCAGAAAAATATGACTCCCAGTTTACCTGATGAATTTCACATGACTGGGAATTTAATTTATATCACCACTTGTCATTATTTTGTAAAACATTATTGAATTACCAGGACATCATGTTACATGTAGTTGTAAATTGAGATTCTCGTTAAAGATTGTAAGCCTATAAATGAAAATATCTGTCAATCACATATTAATTAACCGATACAGAGCTAATTTCTATTATTTTTTAAAGATATCTTCCCTATCAACGAAACTGTCATGAAAAAAAAAATCAACTGCTGATCACAGCTGGTCGAGTGTCGTACGTTTGCAATCACATTCAATGAATATAATAAATCTACCGTTAATTCACACCCTTAACCCACCGAATAGTACAATTTGATCGATAGTAATAAATAAAAATAAAAAAAATCAGCTGAGTGATTACGCAACATCCTCAGATAAAAATCATCGTAAAATGATAACTTTAACAGACGGTCAGTTTTCCGATTGAATAGTTTTGAATGTTATATCCAAGGATGTTCAAAGTCGCTGTTGTATTTATTTAATTTGATCGTCGACAGTATTAGTCCTGGGTCGTTTCAAAAATCTTGGTTTCCTTGTCAGTCGCCATATTTTTTTACCTGGGAGACGTGTAATTCACAAGTTGTCTCCCTTTTACCGATTTTCATAGCGATTTGACTTCACCATGAAGTTAGTCGGCTGGCGAGATTTAGCGATTTTCAAAATTCTTTGGGGACTTAAATCATCATTTCGCCGGCAAGATTATGGCCTGACCCCCTTTTTCAAAATTTTGGATCCTCATCTGCTACCCACAATCGTGTCTTCAGTCATTGTTTAGAATCCTCTCATTATTATCCCTCTGCTTATGTTTTTCTGTTTCTGTTTTTTCTTATTGCCTGTGCAAACTTAAAGATATTGAATATCCTTGCTGACAATAAATAACTATAGCATACCTTTGCTGGAGTAGATTTAGGACTTAGGCAAGCATTCACTGAGAAAGCTTTTCTATGTTTTGATTTTAATGCTGCATAATTAGTGGGATCTGCCTCAATCAGTAAACCATTCCATTTCCTGACTTTTTCAAAGAAAAATGTGTTGGATCCTTTTTCTCCATTTAGTCCACCACATTCTACATAAAAACCTCCTTCCTACAAAGTATTTTTTCGATTAATTGTCCATAAGAAAGGTATCAATAGTCTGTGTTTCTTTTTAAAAAAAATGTTTCCAGAATTTTCTGCAGCTGTTACTGAGCTGTATGTAATATAAAAATCAAAAGATGTGGCTTCCTTGCCAAGGAAACAACAATCCAACAAAACACCAAAGGAAAAGGTGTAAACAACTGCAGTTCATTGTTTGACCTTCAACAATAAGCAAAACTAAACTGTATAGAAAGTTATATTATAAAAGGCCACAAAGAACAAAATGTGAAACAATACACAATTTGTATGTTCTTGGATCTACCTGTGTACTTTTTTTAACCTTATATTCTAAACTTAAATTCATTGTCAAAATGTATATTTCTTGGATCTACCTATGTTCTGTATTTAACCTAATATTTATATCTTACAGGAGTAGGTGTGATAATGCCCCTATTTCTTGCTAAAATTTCAAATAAGGATTTATGACCATTAGCATAATGAATCATAGCTAAAACAATGACTAGATAAGAAATAGGTCTCATTGTTGGAAATTCAAGAATCAGCTTTTTTTCATGACATCACTAATAGCACATATCAAGATTTTTTTATGAAATTCAAAGAAAACAGGTCAATTTCTATTGGTTTTTATGATCAAAAACATACAGTGCATATGTGGACAAAAAGATCTGTCCATATTATGTTGGTTATTATAAATTACATATCTGATTTAAATATATAGCTTGTTGAACCCTGCACTCTATGTTTCTTGGGTATAAAAGTATTTTACCAAAATCTCCATTTTTTCCTATTTTGGGTGTAAATGCCAATGCTTTGAAAGAAAAACTTGATAAAAGTAGTTTGATTTCACTTTCTTACATGTCTATTCATCTACTTGAACCACTTTTACCTTGAAATAATGGACTTAATACTACGGGTCAAAAAGGGCCCAAACCAAACTTACTCCTTTTTTAGCAAAATGTATATTTTCTTGCATCTACCTGTTTTCTATATTTAACCTAATATATAACTTAATTGTATTGTCAAAATGTATATTTTCTTAGATCTGTGTTCTGTATTTAACCTAATTTTTATAAACTTATATTTGTATTGGCATACCAGGTAATAAATATTTTTGGTGTCTTTCCGATTGATCCACTTTTTAAAAGTACAGGTAAAAAGTAATAAAATTTATGGGACAATCGGGAAGATGTTTGTGGGACAATTAGGAAGTGTAATAGTGTAATACATTTAAACAAGAGTGCACACGCTGAAATGTCTTGCCTACTAGACTGACCATTGATTTTAGGTTGATAATCCTAAATATAAAGTTTTACTACAAGTATCATATTAACATTTATGATCCAAGAAGATGAGGTCAAAGTCAGATAAACCAAGCCAGAAATACATATTCACCTTTAATACAATCATTCCATACACCGAATATAGATGACCTATTGCTTATACATGTAGTATAAAAGAAACAGACCAAACCATGGAAATTTTATAGTGACCAATGAACCATGAAAACGAGGTCAAGGTTAGGTGAACCCTACCAGACAGACATATACACCTTACAATCATTCCATACACCAAATATAGTTGACCTATGAACCATATTTTCTTGGGACTACCTGTCATGCCTGTGTACTTTATTTTACCTAATAAAACTAGTAATAGTAAACTTATATTTATTGGTATAATGTGAACTCCACTTAACCTTATATTTTTTAGCTTATTATATTTATTGGAATAATGTATATATTTCATGAAGATGGACACACACTATGGTGTAATATCTCTATTCAAAAGGATGACTTGTGACTTTTATCCTCAACATGTTTTGTCTCCCATTTTCATTGTGTACACCACAAAAATTCATAGTCATTTTGTTATCATGGTTATCAGAAAACGTAAACTGTCAATATGGTTGTGATTAGCAACTTCATTTTACAACTGACATGTGATAATTATGAGTTGACAGGTTTTATTTACTGCAAATTTGAATACATTAAGTTTTTATGAAATATCAATTTTTTTCTCACCTCTGTTTAACTGATTTATGTAGATAAAAGTTTTTGTTTTAACTTTTTTTTATATCATGTAAAGATCTGCTACTTAATTCTTTTCTCTTTTTTTTTTATCCAATTCTCTCCCTTTAAAATATCAGAAGATTTTAACAGTTTAATGGCACATAACATTATTTTTACCTTTATGTATTAATGAGGTAAACACAAATCTGAATTTGATATAAAACTGAATAAATATGTTTAAACATAATAGACACTCAAGAAAAGAAAAATGTTCTTTTATGAGCATATGAACATTTGTTCATTAATAAGATTTGCTATAAGCAGTGATTTGTTGTATAAAGATACCATAATAAACAGCAGATCAGCAATTATGTCAGGACAATCAATAACTTTAATTTTCTTAAATGTTTTGAGGATCATAACATGATTTTCTTCACATCCCATAGGAAATGTATCAAATATTTTCATGGTATGACTTGAAAAGTTTTAATGACAGTATTGACTGCCGATTGTGATTATTTCATGAAAGCACTATTATTACTATAGAATATTGTTTGACAGGATTGAATTAAGTCAAAAACAGGTAAAAAACATAAGCAATGATTTCCACATCTGTTTTAGAGGGTTTCACTATGCATTAAAATTGAATAATCAAAAACAATGCCCAGAAATTCAATCATACATTTTTGTGGGAGAGCTTCATTTTATAACTTTATAGAAAAATTAGATAGGTACATTTTCTTACTATGTAATTGAGCCTACTATCTATGAATGGTGTCTGTCCATTGGAATACTCCAGTCTATCTGGAATATCTAAGTTGTATGGTTCTGTAGAAGGTTGTTCAATGTAATAGTTCCTTATCATTGTCACCAATGTCTTATCATCAGCAGCTGTATTCCTGTCTATGAGTTCCTTCATGGCCTTTTTATAATCAAATTGTGCTAACCTGTTTTGATTTATTTTTTGTGGTTGAAATTGTTGCATGAAAACAACTTGTTTTCTGTCTTCATTAAAAGCCCCTCTAACAACAGGAGAAGAAATATCTAGATTTGATATCGGATATTGATTTAAACTGGAATTTCTGGCATAAAACATCATGAAAAGTAGAAAAAACAAGCCTACAACTCCTGCTATAAACCATGGTGTTGATACTCTCATTATTCAGGTTAAAGTCTGGACTGTAAACGACTTAGCTTTCAAGTAAACTTTTGTGTTGTAAAACTGAACTTTATGTCATCTAGTGTTTCATCTGAAAAGACATGACTAAAAACAGTGATGTTCCACATATCAGCAATAACAGTAGATTAAAAAGACAATGGGTAGTAAATTAATTCAAAGCAACAAAATTCAATATCATAAAACTACAAAGGATACTAACAATGATATAAAAGAAATTCAATTATCTACCGTGGTACAGCCTTAAGATTATCCTACTTTACAGAGAAGTTTATATCCATACATCCTGATATAAATATTTAACACTTTGGGAATTTGAAACTTTCAGTGACAAATAATTGTTAGAAAATTTCGGTTACGTTACATTTCATTATTCTTTAATTCTCATTCAAATTTTAGTAAATTGAAACCCAGAATTAAACTATAATTTATACACATTGAATACTGTTTATTCTTACAGTACCTAATTATTTTCAAATCAAGTGACTGTCACTTTGGTTTTATTCTATAAAAGGAAATGTAAATTTTACACAAATACTGCTTTAAAAGAGAATATCACACTATAAATATACAGAAATAAACTTGTTTTCATCAATTACCTGTGTATCTTGATCTGTCAGGCCTTGAGTATGTAGAAATCTGTTAAATATTTGATTCAAGCGTTTTGTACTCAGGCACATCAGGTATATTGATGTGTTGGAAGACCTACAAAAAAAATCAATAATCAACATATCAACTTTCTATCCTCTTATAATAAAATAAGATGTGGTGTAGTAAACATCTTGTGGTATATAGTCAATTTCCAACAATGAACATATGAGCAACAAGATCTGTTAATTAAAACAAGGAAATATATAATATGCTAATTCTCTTACTGGTTCTCCTTTTTGGTCCCTCACTTAAAATCTGCAATAAATCTATAAATTATCAATCTTCAGATAGTCATCAAACTTTTATTTAGAAGATAAAGACTGGATGATATTCTAAACAATCATATTCTTATTGTTTGCTTGTGAGCCTTCAAGCAGGAAACTTAACTTTAAGGAAAGATATATTCTATCTTTCCAAAATTTTTCACATTTAATGACTTTGTGGTGTTAACTTAAACAAGGTCCTCAACCAAACTAAAGTCTATCTGATTGCAGTCTTTGTATTTGATTTTACAGAGCCATTTGAATCATATACATTTTTGTATATCTGTTTTGCTTATATTATGGGCATAGCTAGCATATTGCAGCTGTAGAGAGTTAAACATATGCAGACAGTGTTTGGCAGTTGTGTGCTTTAATTTTGTTGTTCTGGATAGTTTTATGCTCCAAACAACTTAATATGATCAGATATAGTTTCATTGCTAAACATATGGAAATTTTATGAAAAATCCACAGCCTTTCTCTTTGTACTCCTATATTTGACAATTTGGTGCTTACTAGATAGAGGATTAGTGCATGCAGTGCTAGCAATGATTTCCCTAAAACAAGTATATAAATAAAGATATTGGTTAAAACAAGTATAACAAGAATGTGTCCATAGAACATGGATGCCCCACTTGCACTATCATTTTCTATGTTCAGTGGACAATGAAATTGGGGTCAAAACTCTCTAATTTGGCATTAAAATTAGAAAGATCACATCACAGGGAACATGTGTACTAAGTTTCAAGTTGATTGGACTTCAACTTCATCAAAAACTACCTTGACCAAAAACTTTAACCTGAAGCGGGACAGACGGACAAACGGATGGACGAACAGATGGATGGATGGACGAACAGACTGATGGACCAACAGACGGATGGACCAAAGGACAAACAAACGGACGCACAGACCGAAAAACATAATGCCCTAGGTGGGGCATAAAAATGGACTTATTCAAGGTTTTCGTCGACTTTAGTGACTCAGCAGGAGGTTTTTTGAATTGTAAAGGTTGTTTAGGATTTTTTGTAGACAATAAATGCTAGCACATCATGGACAAACAAGTGATTAATTTATGTTTACAATTTTATAACGAAAATCTCTGTAATAATGTCTTTGGGTTTTTGCAAAAATCTTGATTCTATTCAATGCAATGAAATATTTAACATGTTTAACAGTATTGCTTTGAACAACATTTCCCTTTGGTATATGTACAAAATGGCACATCGCTTTTATTCTGTATTTTTAATGTTTTAATATTGTTGCACTTTGAAAATTTCGAAATAAACAGGCCTACTGTAGGGGTCATCAACCTTAATCTGGTGAACAAAATGTTTCAAATTCCTACTTATAATATAAAAATAAAAGAAGAATGTGTCTGAGGACATGAATGCCCCCACTCAAGCTTTGCAATTTTTCAAGTTAAAAAGGGGCATAACTCTAGAACTGTTAATGACATACTTCCAAAATTTAAACTCTGTCTGCATGTTGTGGTTCTTAGCATTGTGTATGAGTTTTATAAAATTTGAATAAGGCAAACTTAAGTTAAAGTGCGGAAACAAAACAATTTGCAATTTTCCAAGTTATAAAGGGGCATAACTCTAGAACGGTAAGTGACTCACTGCCCAAATTTCGAACTCTGTCTGCAAGTTTTTGTTCTTAGCATTGTGTACAAGTTTCATTAAATTTGGATGAGGAAAACTTGTGAGAGTGCGGAAACGAAAATAGGACAGACGGAAAGACGGACAGACTGAAGGATGGTCAAGGGTAACACTTAATGCCCCCTTTGCATACAACAGGGCATTAAAAAACTATTTTGGGTTTCATTCCTTTATACCATTTAATTCCTTGGCCTTTATTCTTCTTTGTTATGAAAAATGATTGAAAACAAACTTATATGGCAAATAATGGAACATGATTTTCTGTCTCTTAGCTTTAAGTGTTTTGTGTTATTAAACGTTTTGATGTCTGATCTTATATCATCATGATCATAATATAACATTCTAGGTCTGAAGATTAAGAATTTTTTTGTAGTATTGTTTTTTATTTAATATTCAGTCTAGCCTAATTTGTAACCCTGAGTCTCAATCTTGTGTTGGTCTTACAGTGTACATGTGCATGTATAAATATATTTATGTCTATTTGTCCTATCTCTATCTTGTCTTGATTCTTTTGAGTTTGACTTTTTATGGTTTATCTATATTGCCTCAATCTTGACTTGTTCTTGTGGTTTTACAGGGTTTATGTTGATTTGTATTGTCTCAATCTTGTCTTGCTTCTAGGGTTTTACAGGATCTATGTTGTTTTACATGTACATGTATAGTCTCAATCTTGCTTCATTTCTAGGGTTTTACAGGATCTATGTTGATTTACATGTACATGTATATTGTCTCAATCTTGTCTTGTTTCTAGGGTTTTACAGGATCTATGTTGTTTTACATGTACATGTATATTGTTTCAATCTTGTCTTGTTTTGGGGTTTTACAGGATCTATGTTGATTTATATGTACATGTATATTGTCTCAATCTTGTCTTGTTTCTAGGGTTTTACAGGATCTATGTTGTTTTACATGTAAATGTATATTGTTTCAATCTTGTCTTGTTTTAGGGTTTTACAGGATCTATGTTGTTTTACATGTACATGTATAGTGTTTCAATCTTGTCTTGTTTCTAGGGTTTTACAGTGTCTATGTTGTTTTACATGTACATGTATAGTCTCAATCTTGCTTCATTTCTAGGGTTTTACAGGATCTATGTTGATTTACATGTACATGTAAAATTATTTTCATTTACCTGTGTTTAAAGTTATTGCAAATGGCTGATATTTTTGTTCGAGCATATTGTTTTTCTTTAATTGTTTAACATTTCATACTGTTATAGCATGTTACTTTTATGATTCTTCCCTTAGGTATTTATTTTGTATTTACATTGTATCATAGGTCAAATTTATTTGTTCAGTGTATGTTCAATAGTGTTAATATGTCCTTTGATTGAGTTAAGCTATTTCAGTTGATATTTTATAGTGTGTCTTTCTATGTTGTGATGTTACACTATTGTTTCAGAAAAAGGTTGAAGGTTTGGTACCATTAATACGTTTAAACCCGCTGCATTTGTTTGCACCTGTCCTAAGTTAGGAATCTGATGTTCAGTAGTTGTCGTTTGTTGATGTGGTTCATAAGTGTTTCTCGTTTCTCGTTTTTTATATAGATTAGACCGTTGGTTTTCCCGTTTGAATGGTTTTACACTAGTAATTTTTGGGGCAATTTATAGCTTACTGTTCGGTGTGAGCAAAGGCTCTGTGTTGAAGACCGTACTGTGACCTATAATGGTTTACTTTTATAAATTTTGACTTAGATGGAGAGTTGTCTCATTAGCACTCATACCACATCTTCTTATATCTATATATTGTCTCAATCTTGTCTTGTTTCTAGGGTTTTACAGGATCTATGTTGTTTTACATGTACATGTATAGTGTCTCAATCTTGCCTCATTTCTAGGTTTTTACAGGATCTATGTTGATTTACATGTACATGTATATTGTCTCAATCTTGTCTTGTTTTTAGGGTTTTACAGGATCTATGTTGTTTTACATGTACCGGTACATGTATATTGTTTCAATCTTGTCTTGTTTCTAGGGTTTTACAGTGTCTATGTTGATTTACATGTACATGTATATTGTTTCAATCTTGTCTTGTTTCTAGGGTTTTACAGTGTCTATGTTGATTTACATGTACATGTATATTGTTTCAATCTTGTCTTGTTTCTAGGGTTTTACAGGATCTATGTTGTTTTACATGTACATGTACATTGTTTCAATCAGGTCTTGTTTCTAGGGTTTTACAGTGTCTATGTTGATTTACATGTACATGTATATTGTTTCAATCACGTCTTGTTTCTAGGGTTTTATAGGATCTATGTTGATTTACATGTACATGTATATTGTTTCAATCAGGTCTTGTTTCTAGGGTTTTACAGTCTATGTTGATTTACATGTACATGTATATTGTTTCAATCTTGTCTTGTTTCTAGGGTTTTACAGGATCTATGTTGATTAACATGATCATGTATATTGTCTCAACCTTGTCCGGTTCTTTGAGTTTTACAGTGTCTATGTTGATTAATATTGTCTCAATCTTGTCTTGTTCTTTGGGTTTAGAGTATCTATGTTGTTTTATATTGTTTCAATCTTGTCTTGTTCTTTGGGTTTAGAGTATCTATGTTGTTTTATATTGTTTCAATCTTGTCTTGTTCTTTGGGTTTAGAGTATCTATGTTGTTTAATATCGTTTCAATTTTGTCTTGTTCTTTGGGTTTAGAGTATCTATGTTGTTTTATATTGTCTCAATCTTGTCTTGTTCTTTGGGTTTAGAGTATCTATGTTGTTTTATATTGTCTCAATCTTGTCTTGTTCTTTGGGTTTAGAGTATCTATGTTGTTTTATATTGTTTCAATCTTGTCTTGTTCTTTGGGTTTAGAGTATCTATGTTGTTTTATATTGTCTCAATCTTGTCTTGTTCTTTGGGTTTAGAGTATCTATGTTGATTAATATTGTCTCAATCTTGTCTTGTTCTTTGGGTTTAGAGTATCTATGTTGTTTTATATTGTCTCAATCTTGTCTTGTTCTTTGGGTTTAGATTATCTATATTGTTTTATATTGTCTCAATCTTGTCTTGTTCTTTGGGTTTAGAGTATCTATGTTGATTAATATTGTCTCAATCTTGTCTTGTTCTTTGGGTTTAGAGTATCTATGTTGTTTTATATTGTTTCAATCTTGTCTTGTTCTTTGGATTTAGAGTAT